GGGGAGGGGGGGGGGTCGACTCAGCTGTGGACAACCTTGACCCCAAAAAGCTGGTTCTCCGGAAATATAAACAAAGAGATTTAAAGGACCCGCCCTCTGGTACCCACCGATAACACCTTTCATCACGGCCAAGCTAGAAGTGCTTGCCCCACATCTCATTGCCTACACTGTAGGTACCCACAGCATTCCACAATCGGCGTCGCGTCCAAGCCCCGGCCGAACGAAAGAACACCAACAACCAGCCCTGACAGCTCAACCAAGAAAGGGAGCCGTGCACCAGTAGACCGATAACCAACGAGGCGCTCAGCACACAACAGCGAAGCATCAGCCTTTCCCGCATACAAGCCTCCGAACCTTGACTCGCCGGGCACCGCCCCCCACAGGCAATACTTCCGCCGGTCTGCATTTCTTCTACTTCCATGTATGCCACTACCGCCCCCCAGCTGGGTGCGGGCGCTGGAAGTTTCACGTCCCGCCACAAGACCACCGTCTTCGACAACTTCGTTCCACTTCAGCCAGCACTCCCGACAACCAACGAAACCGCACACCGCACATATCGCACATCGCCCGCTCCCGCGTCACCGCCCTCGCCGCCCCCCGCCCCCTCCCCCGCTCCCGCCGCCCTCCTCGCGCCGGCGCCGGCGGCCCCTGTCCCGCCGCCTCTCTCTCCTCGCCGCGAGCATGAGCTGCTCGCCGCCCGTGGCCGGCGAGTCCGGTCGCTGCCGGAGGCCTAGGGCGGCTGTCGTGGCCATCCAGCGGTCGTTGTCCCGGTGTCGTAACGTCTCCAGGAGGCGGCGCCGTCGCTTCACCAGCACCACCAATCCTTTTCTCGACACCGCGTCGGTGGGGGTGGTCTGGTGGGGGGGGGGTACACGCAACGCACATGCGACGGAGCGGGGGAGGAAGCAGACATAGGTCGACACGGCCGTGGTGATGAAATCACAAAGGAGCGGGGGAGGAGGCGAGGGGCAAAAAGGTTGAGACATCAAGCAGCGATGAAGCCAGTTGTGCTTCGCGCGAAAACAACGCTCGCTTCATTCCAGGAGGACGGTGTGAGAAGAAGAAGCTTCGAAAGCAAGCACTTCCGCGGGAATATCCTACAGCACGCCGAGGGTACGGTGCGGGGGGAGCGAGCAAGGGGACAAGCAGGCCATGTGCGTGAAACCAATCAAACCAATTCTGTTCTGATTACACTTGGCGTTTCCAACTGCCGTAACAGAACTCCTATAACAACGATGACGTAGAATACCGGGAGTAGATCATCCTCAACGAAGCCTGCATACATCGCAAACAAAACAACACAGGGGGTCAAATTGTGCAGGGGCGCAATCGTCCTGCACGTCGGAGGTCCCGTCAGAATTCTCGTAAAAAGTGGAAAAAAATTTGAACTTTGGTCTGGCCTCCAGCGACTTGGCCGAAGACGAAGAGACGAGAGTGGAGTCATCTTGTCGATGAGAACAAAGGCAGTGTGTGTACGGTGAGAAGGTTGTGGTCCCGACGTCCCGACAATAAAACAAGAACCGACACATTCATGCCGCTCTGTCCCACCCAGCCCCCACCCTCGACATGCTGCTCCAATAAAAACGGACACACAAAAGGGGCATCAAAGCGAATTGTTGGCGTGCAGTGGTAGCAGAACGCCGATCACCTGATCGCAACGCTGTGTTCGTAATTACTTGTGGGTGGTTTTCCTGCAGTGGTTGGCGCTGAGAAGACGAGCACGTGTGTACACAGAATCCCAGTCAAACGGGGTCCTTAAGCGTGACATCCCCGCGCCTACCTCGCCCACAGCGATGGGTTGGACCGAAAAATACAAATCGCACTTCTCCGCCCCCCGCCCCCCCATGCCATCTACGGCAGAGGGCGTCATACAGCCACAAAAAAGAAGCATATCATCGTGAGCTACTGACGCCATTTGCCACTACTAGGGTAGCCTTCGCGAGGAATCAAGTTTGTGAAAAAACGGAACAGGAAGCGGGTACGCAGACCCTAGCCCTAACCCTTAACCCTAACCCAGCCTCCCCGATTGCATACATTCTCCAACATTTTCATCCAAACGAAAAACTCTGCAAAGGCTAATTCCACTGCCGTACTGCTGTCGCTCCACTGCTGTCGCTCCACTGTTCACCTTGAGGTGGTCCGCGATGCTTGCGATCCTCGCGGAGAGCAAGGAGATCTGGTGCTCCAGCGCAGCCGCGTCCCCCTCGAGCTTGTTCGTGGCCAGCGTCTCCGCGACGCTAGCGGCGGCGGCGGCGGGACCCGCTACCGGCGCCAGCGGGCCGACTCCGGGCTGCGTCATGAGCTTCATCTCCTTCATGCGCTGGGCAACCTCCAACCTACCGCCACGGATAGCAGTTGGGATTTTTTCAGTCCGGCGACGGGACAGGAGGAAACAATATACGAGCAACGAAACAACACGAGCTGGTGGCCACGGCTAGACCGCGTCACCAAGGACTGCCTACAGTACGAAAACAACACCAGGCAGGGGGCACGCAGACCCTAACGCTTAACCCTAGCTAGCCGATTCCATACTTTATCCAGTATGTTTGCATGCTCATGTAAAACCTGCGTGGACTACTGACCACTATCCGGTGCAATCCATCTGCTGAGCTCGTGGCTTGCATGTGCGAGTGCGGCATACCACTCGGCCAGACGGGTGGCAGGCGGTAGGTGACATAATACGTCACACCCGCGTGACGACCATTTTCGATCTATCTCGCGGGCATGGTATTCTGTAGAGGGTGTGATATCTTGTGTGGCCTGTGTGCTAAAACTGCCAACAGGACTCTGCCCCGAAGGGGCCCGAAGGGGGTGCGAAAAAAATGGGGGCGGGAGCCATCCATGGGATGAAGAGTGCGCCTACCTCGACCCAACCTACAGTTCGTGTGACAACGAGGTTGTGTGCCCAATAACGGGGAGAGATAACGTTTCACGTGCATCATGAAGTGCTCCCACAAGACTCCACCCTTCAGGGTGTGTACTGACGACGACGGGTGCGGGCCTCGGCAATTAGGCGTGCACGGTTGCTGACGGGGTCTCAGGGCCCACACTTTCCCCTGCCGCGGGTTGAGGCCTCCTCTTTCTGGTTCATCACTTTACATCAGCGCTCACACCACACACAGCATTGCTGCCGTACAGAAGCTCCAATCCGTGGCCACACAGAAGAGTACCTCTCCCCCCACCCCCTGCTGCGGTGACTAGCCTTCGATTGTTAACGCCAGAAGAGTGCAGCAATCTCGTTCCCTCATGAGTGTACACACAAACTGCCGCTTTCCACAACAACCGGGAACGCAAGCTCTGTGCAGAAAAAATTACGTGATTGGGCGTGGCGCCTCCGCTGGAGTCTCAGTCACTACGGTCTCCCTTAGTGTCTGCCTCACTGCAGCCTGAGCCACGATGCTTTCATCAACAGTGTTGTATGCTTCGTTAATAATCTCCGCGGTGACATCAGTCTCCATAGCCCTAGCGCAGGGTTGCGTGATTTTTTTGCGTGATCACGGGCTACCACATCACGGGTGCAAGCGGGGTGATAGGGGGCTCCACGGCTACATGAATGTAACAGCGGCTGAACTTCGGGGGGGGGGGAGTATCTTTTGACCTTGTCATCTTGCCATTCCAGTGTTGAAAAAAATATCACACGGGTGTGGTTTTCTGTACATTTTCGTTATGGGTGTGGTATCTTCTGTGGGTGTCGTATCTTACGTCACCTACAGCGGTATGCACGAGAAGACCGAAGACGAACACAAGGGTTGCGGTGTGTCCGCCATCCCTCGGCGGTCTTCAGGCCGAGATTGCATGCATTCACACAAAGGAAGCAGCACGCCTCCGCGAAAACGCCTCAGCGTACAACCAACCCGGGGAGTATAACGTTCCCACCCATCCACCCTGGAACGCATACAAATGCTGTTGGTGATTTTGAGTCTTGCTTGTTCTCCAGAAAGCAGGCCACTGCTGTCGTCCAACTCCTGCGTCTTCGATGTCAGTATGCATAACCATACAACCGACGTACATAGCGTGTTAGCGTTCGTTATCCCGCAAGGCATAGTTTCTGGGGGGGGAAACGACACAACAGGGTATATATACCCTGGTCGAAAAGCGACACACCTGGGGACACAGTCATGAACAGCAGTAACTGCACTCATATCATTGGTCAGCGCCCAACGTCACCCCGGTGCGAAAAGGCGCAGGGTATACCCTCCGGTTACTTCTTTTCTCAACAACTGTACCCTGTTTTCGGAAATGTACCCTAACCTGTCGGGACAACAGACCCTTTCATCAATCATTTCCCCCGCAGGAATCTTCCCAACTCCTTGTCCCCTCCAACCATGGGATACCAAACGGCGAATCTTCCCGCCCAATAAACATCATGGCAACGGGGCAGGAATCAGTTTCCGTCCCTGCGAAACAACACCAACCATCAACTTTTCCGCTCTAAGTCAACAACGGCCGGGCAATACCCCAGCACAATTGTTCCGTTTGGAAACATGCACACACGCGTACGGTACCCGGTGGACGACTGCTTGCTGCAGTCTATATGCAAGATGTACAGGTCACGCTGTGAAGGCGAGACCGATCCAGCATGGTTGACATGAATATGCATGTGTGCGTGCATGTGTTGTCTGTTGTGTATCTCATTTGCGATGTGCCGTGTGTGCGTGCGTGCGTTGTCTGTTGTGTCTCAATCGCGATGTGTTTCTTGCTTGAACTACTGCTGTAGCAGCAGCGGTCACGCTTACCAGCCGGTCAAGCCTACCAATCAATTCATGTAGCAAGAAGACGCAGGCTTGAGCGGGATGAGTCGATGAATACAACGCGAACACTCTTTCTTCTCTCCGCCGACAGGGAGGGTAATTGAGATGCACGACACCGCAGTGTCCTGCTGCTAGAGTAAGGATAAGACTTGTGTGTGCGTGATTGATGTCAAGGGCGTGTCTGTGTGTGCTGGCCTGCCTCTCCCCTCCACCCTCTGTGCGGGCGCGAGCTCGCCGCCAGCACAGCGCCACACGTTGGCACATGCTATGCATGTCAACCATGCTGGATCGGTCTCGCCTTCACAGCGTGATCTGTGCACCTTGCATATAGACTGCAGCAAGCAGTCGTCCACGGGGTATCGTACGCGTGTGTGCATGTTTCCAAACGGAACAATTGTGCTGGGGTATTGCCCGGTCATTGTTGACGTAGAGCGGAAAAGTTGATGGTTGGCGTTGTTTCGCAGGGACGGAAACTGATTCCTGCCCTGTTGCCGTGGAGTTTATTGGGCGGGAAGATTCGCCATTTGGTATCCCATGGTTGGAGGGGACAAGGAGTTGGGAAGATTCCTGCGGGGGAAATGATTGATGAAAGGGTCTGTTGTCCCGACAGGTTAGGGCACATTTCCGAAAACAGGGTACAGTTGTTGAGAAAAGAAGTAACCGGAGGGTATACCCTGCGCCTTTTCGGACGCACCGGGGTGAAATTGGGCGCTGACCAATGACATGAGTGCATTTACTGCTGTTAAAGGTTAATGACTGCGTCCCCAGGTGTGTCGCTTTTCGACCAGGGTTTACCCTGTTGTGTCGTTTTCCCTTTTTTTTTTTGTCATTTGTCCGTCAGGAAAGCGGGGTTGATGCTCTACTGAAAGTAACCCTCGGGCCCAGATTTTCGATTTTCTGAGCCGATGTACTAAGCATGTGTCGCGAGTCGCTATTCGCACCCTAGGGAAAGGGATATTTGGCGGAGAAAGTTTCTCACCAACGAAAGTATGAAGTGTGGGTGTGTCTGGTGTGTCGACTGATGTGTAGACGTTGTTCTTCTCGCGCGCATGCGACCTGTGTGGGAAGGAAGGCCCTGGTCTTCGAGATGCGACTGTAGCAAGACGGAAACGATTGCCACTACACTGCCTGAAGTCCCATCTGTCGGACGAGTATGTAGCAGACTCAGCAGCACTGCAGAAACTCCGCAGGTAAATGTGCATAGCTCGCCCAACGCAGACGTTGGGCGAAACGACGAACTTCAACATGAGTCCAGCGACCCGAACTTGAAGAACATGGCACTGCCTCCTTCGAATATATATAGGCACAATCGCTAAAACATGCAGTGCTTCATGCCAAAATACTCCTATGAAGTCGAAGATCGTCAGTGCAAAACGCAGACTAAATAGCCTTGCGGCATTGATGCTCGATAAACTTTTGTAGGTGTGTTGGCGTTCAGTGGCGTGTACCGCGCAAACTCAAAAAGCAGCGGAATCCTGCGTAAGTTCCTGTGCTTACCGAAACAGGCTCCCGACGTCCGCCGCCGTCGAACCAGGATGCGTTGCCACCGGGCTCGAGCTCTCCGCCCCCGCCCGAGCCCTTGGCCTCGCAAGGGCGCGTCTCAAGAGCACCCGCCTGGCCAACGGAGGATGAGTGTCCTTGCCTGCGGTTGGTCTCCCGTGCTGCTGCTGCTGTTCCTTAGAGCTGGCTGCGGGTGTGGACTCCGATCTCGTTGCGATCGAGCCCCCAGCTACCGCGGGCCCTACGAAGCAGGAAGCCAACGGCTTGCTGCGACAGTCGCTGCAAGCCGTCCCGAGAGCTGCCGTTGCCGCCATTGCTGCGAACAGAAACACTACTATTAGCATCGCCAGCCGAGCGTCCGCCGTCGTCATCGTGCGTGTGCGTGCTGCTGATGATCTGATGATTGGCTTTTTCCTCGGTGGTGGTGTGGGCTTTGGTCCCTCGGTCCCGTGGGTTTCTGCCACGTTTCCAACGCAAAGGCGTAAGTCGTGTGGCTTCGGCTCCCCGAGGCCAGCGTGGGGCGGGATAGACTGGTGTCTAGCGTTTTCCCCTCTTCTCCTCCTCACAACTCTCTCACGTGGTGCACGCGTGCACGCACACGCACGCGTTGATCTCCGAACATTCTGATATATGGGTTTTCTGTACGTTTGCGAGGCGTTTTGTTTTCGCCCCCTAGGTTAGTAGATCTTCAAGTATGACGTCGGCCACCAGGGCAGCAGTTGTACCCCCTGCCCCCCTACGCACAACGGCAACGACACTTCCATCCACACCTGCTTGCTGTCCGTCCGAAGAAGCTCAGTAGCTTTGGTCCCATCGCACCACCATGAAACTTGCCATGTGCCTCACTCTTGTCCCTCTCGGTAAGTGCCGACGAAGGAAATGGAGGGAGAAGCTCTTGTAGTCGCTATCCTGCTGTCATGGTTGGTTCCTCCTATTGTTCTCGAAATCTTTTGAAGGCTGCTTCAACATGAAAAGCGGGGTTGCGGTGATTTCTTCGTTGGTAATGCAGGTTGGGGGCGTTGAGTGGCGTGGTTTGCCAGGACGCGTGAAATGTTATGCGTGTCGTTAACGCTCCCCGGGAAATTCGTCGGGGGAACAGATCCCCTGAACGAACATATCCATTCATGTGCGGTGCTGCTGTATCATCTGCTGCTGGCTCTATTTAGCAAATAGGTCTGTTTTAGCCTTTACCTAATATGCGGATTTTTTTTTGTTTATTTTTTCGGCCGAGCATGTGCCTACAGCAGCGAATTATGCGCGCAGTTGTGCGTGTTTTCCAGTTATTATGCGTGAACTCATGCACGGTTGTTTTTGCCGACGGAGTCGATATATGCAGCGTTTTTAGGGTCTACGCGCGAGGTGCGCACGTGCCCCTGTCTTTGCCGACACAGTGAAGCACTTGCGGTAACGTTGATTCTGATTCTGTGTTCCGTGCTCTTGTTGTTTCTCGCATTAGCTCTAGTCTATTGTTGTTGTATGTCAGTTGCTAAATGCCAAAATCTAGCAAAGTCTCTCAGCCCGTGGTCACGAAAGTGCTAGAGCCATCCGAGGATCTAAAGAACACGCACACATATAACATATAACGAGAAAAAGGTATCCAAGAGCCCGAAGAGGTACACCTAGAAATCCCTGCAGCACCGTATGCGTGCCCAAAAAATATAGTCCACAAAAAATGGGGAGGCCGTGGTCTCAAAAAAATAAATAAAAAAGAAAATATACACACACCGAGACGCGCTTGCTCCGCAAACACATAAGGTGCCATTATAGAACACCCGACAAACCGAGTTCCCCTAAATCTTCCGTCTACAACTTCCCAGCATAACATACACATAGATCCACAAGATGGCTACCAAACTGTCTTGTTGAGCCTGTTACCCACAGGGGAGATATCGTTGTATGCTGTCTGGGAACCGTAGACATACAGGTAGCCTTTCGCTCACGCTATGGATTCATTGCTAATCTATCTTAGACTTATTTCTATAGGTAGAGAACAGGTATGGCACCGACCGTTCGAGAAAAGGGCCCTCGGAAACCGACTACCCAACAGTACCCAACATCATTCGTCTGCACCTTCCCAACATAACATATATGAGACACACAATACAGCTACCAAACTGATTTGTTGAGCCTGTTATCCGCAGGGGAGATGTCCCTATATGCTGTCTGAGAAATCGTAGACATACAGGTAGTTTTCTCTGACGCTATGATTCCTCTGTCTCTGACACTTTTCTATGATAGAGATGGACTCGTTGTGTCATATTAAGAAGAAAATAAGTCAATAATGGAGGACGCTTCCCACACACCCCCAAAGAAACAATCAAAGGGTAACGTACCAGCAACAGGCACTACGCACCAGGGCATGGGAGTAACGGAGCACACAGGACAAAGAGGCGGCAGATGGGCAGACAGCCAGACGTACAGAAACAAAGGCAACAGCAAAGCGAGATCAAGGTAATCAACACAGCAGAGTAGGCAGGGAGGTCATGCAAAAAAAAAAACACAGCACAGAGGCCGAAGGCAATACAAGGGACATACAAAAAGGAGTATTGTATACTCCTCTGATTCCTTAGCACGAAACAAGTGTGCCACTCAAGAAGCAACACACAGACGAACGGACACCACGAAAACACCAGCCACAATCGTGGCTACACCATTCCCCAGCTCCCAGCACGCCCTATTTGCCCGATTCCCGTGGTTATCTTTTCCCCGACCTCTATTCTGCTGCCTTGCATCCATACAAGCACGCAGGATGGAAAAAACACGTGGATCGCGGTCTGCCTTCTGCCTTCGCTAGTTGTGCTTTGCTGCTGTGCTGTGGCCTTTCGTCTTTGGTCGGTGGTCTGGTTGTCTGCGGTCTGTGGTGCAGCTGTTCAGCTGTTCTGCTGTTCTCTTGGCTTTTGGAGTGGAAAAATATAGCCAAATCCCCAAAACCCCAAACCCCCAAACCCTCCGCAGGTCCGGTGTCTTTACTTAAGTTCCACCATGGATGGTGTGTAAGGATGAAGTTGCTCACAGCGAAGGCGTTTTTCAAGTTATTGTTCAAGTTTGCTGGGGCCACAGGAGGCCCTTGACTCACTGCTGATCCACCCCTATCTCCAAAATGAAGCGAGCATAACCATGCTTATGCGTACGCCCATATAGACTATGCGCGATATTGTGCGCCAAAAAAAAAAGGGTTTGTCTATTGACGCCACCGGTGGCGCAATTTCTTATATGCGCCACCGCTCTTATCTCCGCCCACAGAGCTTCAATTGGCACAAACTAAAAATCGTGGTGTAGCTATGACCCATAGCAATCATACAAGCCAACTTGAAGCAAAATCCATTAGGTCGTTGGAAAGTTATGCTCGAAAAAGGGGGCTCAGCGGCATCAAAAGGCGGGCACCAACCACATATTCCACCGTAACTCCGTGGCCAAAGCTCCAATCGACGTCAAACAAATTGCGCTGGTCGACGGACGTCCATAGCCATCGTTCAAGCCATNGGCGAAATTATGCGTTTCCTTATGCACGCGAAGGTCATTTATGTCGAAAGCAATGCCCGCATATTAGGTACTACATGCCTAGTCTGTTTCGAACGGCAAGAAGCGGTTGAGGAGCAGCGGTTTTGCTAAGTTGCTGTCCGCACTCAACTTTCTTCCCGCGCTCGAGATCCCGACCATTCCTGTGCTTCTCCGCTCTACGGTAGTAGTTGCCAACCCTTGCATAGTTAGAGAGAACATATCATTCAGAGGCGACACACATGATGTGGGGCGCCGGAAAAAAAAAAGAAAAAGATCGCCCGCCCCGAAGCAGCAGATGCACACACGTACGTTGGCATTGATAAGTTGGACTACCGCACCATAACTCCCTTCTTCCCCTCGCTCCTCGACAAGCTTTTGCTTAGACATGGGTTGTAGTGAAGGGGGGGGTCTTTCTGGCGAGCAGGGCTAGACTCACCCTCAAGGGATGACCGAAACCTTCTTGCTGCTGCGCATATCCGCCGCGAGGCATGCGCGTGGTGGTGTAGTTGGGTCGGCACTGATGGGGTCAGGC